AAAAGATGAGCTTCATCCCAAAAGGAACAAAACTGTTTGTTGCAACTAATTAAAGTGTTAGCTGGAGGTCAGTTTCACTTTGTTAGTCAAATCTGCCTAATTCTGCTAGTACATATAACACCACCATCTCCCCAGACTCACAGTGCTGCTGCCCAACAGGTGTCTGGTTGATTACTTTTTCCTGAATGCAGACAACCTAAGACAGGAAGTGTGGTACTGGCCAAATCACCAGGTGAAATAAAGGCTAAAAAAAGAAATCTAATACAGCCACCACATTTAAAGATTTGGAAGCTGCAATATATAGCATTTTTGTTTTTGGGTTCCATACTGATTGAAAGCTGAACAAAAATGAAAAGTACTTAATGTTTTTTTTTAAAAGCCTCTTTCCCATAGTGCAAGCTATTTTACATTAGGCCAATTTGGTTTATATGCCACAGGCAGTACAGCTCCCTGTCACAATTCTGGTCCACTCGAAGGCAAGTGCTGAAAGTCTCAGAGACCTCAGCCATACGGTCATTTCTCTTCCTACCTATCCTACTTACCATTCACAAATCTGAGGCGCTTACAAGCAAGGACAAAAGTACAGCACAGGACATGTAAACAAAATTTTCCTAATATAAAAGAAAATCTGCATGGGGGGCTTTTTAGGGAACAGAATGTATAACTGCTTGAACACAATTAAGTTTTATTGTGCCCACATTTGGTGCTTCAAAGCTGAATTTCAGAGAAACAGCTTAATACGCAACTACGCATATGTGATTTGTTTTACCTGTTAAAAGATCTGTACAAATGTATTCAGCCTGACTTGTGATCAAAGTATTTTTGCCAGACATCATAGCCAGATCTTGGACATTCACCAGAGTAGCAGCAGAGCTTTGCTCCAGAACATAACCCAGCCTACTAACTGAACAATTAAAAGAGCAGCACACGGATCCCTTGGTTTACTCTGCTCTCGCCTATAATTTGTGTATCCTCTATCAGCACTGCAGCAAACGTCTAAGTCTGGTTCTCCTTCTCCCAGCCTACTGTGAAAGATTACAGGAGAATCATTTCAGGTATTTTACACTAGATGCATTTAAAACTGCATAAGCCCCCTTTCACACAGGCGTTGTGTTTTTTTTTTTCCAGTTCAGTCGCAACAAAAAAAAAAAAAAAAAAAACACGGATCAGTTTTTTTACATTCACTACCAATGAAAAAATGGCCAGTTTGTCTGTTTACATCTGTTTTTAGGGCTTTGATCCGTTCCAAAAAAAAAAAAAAAAAAAAAGAATGCGGATGTTAACCACTTGGTGACCGCGCTATAGCCAAATGACAGCTACAGCGCGGTTACCCAGTTCTGGGAGGGCATCATATGATGTCCTCCCAGAACGCACCCGGCCCTACGGACACAGCTGATCACATGATGAGGTAAAAGGCCAATCACAGCAGCCTTTTACCACGTGATCAGCTGTGTCCAATGACACAGCAGAACAGAGTAAATACAGCTGCCGGTTATCGGCAACACTTTCCTCACGCTGTCACAGCGTGAGGAAAGTACTGCCGATAGCCGGCAACTGTCAAAGGAGATCAGAACTGATGATCAGTGCCCTGCAGTGCCTCCCAGCAGTGCTCAGCAATACCTCCAGTCAGTTCCATCAGTCAGTGCTACCAGTCAATGCTGTCAGACAAAACAAAACAGACAAACAGAACACCCGTGTGAAAGGGTCCATAGTGGTTTTTTTTTTTTTTTTTTTTTTAACATTCAGCTGAAACAGTTAGTGTTTTGATGTCTGTCCAGTGTTCATCTTTTACAGAAAACTAAAAAACTCAAAAGCAAACATTTTTATATTGCAGCTTATCAATCTTTAGATGTGTCGGCTGCATGAATTTTCTTTTGTTTTCAGACTAAGAAATTTCAGCAAATGCAGAAAATTACCTGTTGAGCTTGCCAGAAATGCAGATTCAATGGCACTTTGTCAACTCATTAGAAAACAAAACAATCTTATAATAAAATAATAATAAATATTTGAAGATCAAGGCAATCTTTTTGAAGTTATAGATCTTTAGACCCCTCTCTATCACTTAGCTACATATGTTATTTATTCCTCTAAATCCACATAAAATGGAAACATCTGAAATGATTAGTACTAGGAAGAAGCAAAATGTAAAAAAGTGAGATTCAGTTTAGTGTGTGAACAATGCTTCGGCAACCCTCCATATTGATATTGTCCCTCAACAGCTTCATTAAAACACTGTGTTGTTAATGAACATAATGTAGTGTAGTATATAAAGTGTTACTAAAGGCATATTTATTTTTTTAAATTAAAATAACATGTTACACTCACCAGCTCTGTGCAGTGGTATTGCAAAGAGTGGCCCCGGGCTCCCCAAAAGCAATCCTAGCTCCTCCTCTTCTTTGTGTGTCCCCATAGGAATCCATTTGCTATGGGGACAAACGCTGTGTGCTCGCTCCCGACCTGTGTGTCTACAGAACCGTGCTAGAGACACACACAGTAGGACTTCGTCCCCCCCCCCCCCCATGATTGACAGCAACAAGAGCCAATGTCTCCTGCTATTTGAGTCCCTGTGTAAAAAGGAAGCGAGGGGAAAAAGAGATGAAGGCATGCACAGCGCTGATCTCTTCTTCCCTCTCTTCCCCTTCACACAGGAAGGGGAGAGCACAGGAAACTTTTTTTACGTTATTGCAAGCAATGCGTTAAGGTTAAAAAGAGAAAAAAAAGTTTTTAGGTTTATTATCACTTTAATGAGTGGACTACTGAAGAAGTCATGTGAGCATGACAATACGCATGTAGGCGGAGCCAGGGCATCAGGAAGCCATAACTGAACTTATGCGGAGCAGCGGCACCACTGCTTATGATACATGCCTGTGTAGTTTTATCTAATATGAGTGCAATTTTGTTTTAAATAAACCATGTACTGTATATTTTAATTTAATCTACTACACTATGGAGAGATCCCTTTGTATGTGAGTACACTGTAGAAACGTGGTTCGCACATTTAAAGGAACAGGCTACTTAGAATTCAAAGTATGCCATGGAGTGGACCAAGGATGAAATATTAAAGAAAGGGGAGTCTGTATATAAGAGAGGAGCAGACCTAGGGACCCCATTTAAGGGTTAAAAAGCCCTCGTGACCTGTAAGAGGACAGGGCTATGAGTGGAGGTGAGCACAAGATTTAATGATGGTGGATACATGTTTGCATGTTTAAACAACACAGGAGGTGACACACATATATATTTTGGAAGATAATTGAAGGCAAACACATATTAACTGCGAACACTTTAATGGGACTTAATGTTATTGATTTTATTTATTGTAAGGCATACAGTAATTTAGGGCAATGCAATATATACACAATTTTTATTGTTATATGGTGTTTTATATTGGTTTTGCACTTTATAATTGCAGGGAGGTGCAACACCACATTTATGGCATATCTCCAGAAATACAGTGGAGGAGTGAGTGTAGCCCCCTTAGCGCAGAAAGTGTGTTATTGGTCACACTAACAAAACCTATTGATGTTCTATTCCCAAGCAGCAATCATCAATGCCACTAATGGCCTAACCATGTGATCCACGTTGTATCAGGTCTTCACTGTAAGTACTACAGTATGTCATGTTCTGTGGTAGGGCCTCATCCTACACATACTGAAAGTAAGCACATCTGGCAACATCATTTTACTGACACGATTAACCACTTGCCCTCCGGAAGATTTACCCCCCTTCCTGACCAGGTCATATCCAATAAAAAAAAAAAAAAAAAAAAAAGTTAAAAATACTAAATTCTTCATAAAATTTAGGCCAAAATGTATTCTGTTACATATTTTTGGTAAATAAAATCCCAATAAGTGTATATTGATTAGTCTGTGCAAAAGTTATAGTGTCTATAAACTATGGGACATACACTGGAATTTTTTTATACTAGTAATGGCAGCGATCAGCGATTTATAAAACAGGACAGCAATATTGCAGCAGACATTTTTACACTGTCACTTTGTGGGAAACAGTGACACTAATACAATGGTTGGTGCTAAAATTATGCACTGATCACTGTACTAATGACAATGATTAAGAAGGGGTTAACATTTATGGCAATCAAAGGGTTAAATTTGTGTCTAGCTGTGTGCTTTTCCTTTCTTCTTTTTCACGGTTCTTTTTCCTGCCTGATTGGCGGTGCCGGTGAAGCAAACATCCGTTCACTGGGACTTGCAGATTGGCTTCTGCTGTGAGTGTTCAGAGTAGAAGTGAGCCGCAAGCGGCACGCTCGCACCCCTTATGGCAGAAGTGGAAAAACCACATATAACACACATGATTTTGCACAGGAGGGCCACCCTGTAGCAGTACAACTGCTATAGGGCGGTCCTCAAGTGGTTAAAACTCTACTTCAGTAAAGGTGGTTGACAAGGACTACGTCCCAAACTACTATCCTCTGTCTTATTTCACATTTCTGCCTATCATAGGAGACTGCTGTAAGGAATATAGAGAGATGCCATGGAATGCCACCAGGCTGTGATGTACTAAGTCCTTTCAACTTTTCGCTGAGAGCTGCTTTAAAAAGGAAAGGATAAAAAAGGGTTAAAGGGGGAAAAAAATGGTTAAAAATGAGGGAAAAGTGAAAGGAAAAAGGAAAAAGGAAAAAAAAAAAAAAAAAAAAAAAAAAAAAAAAAAAGGGAAAACGAAGAGGATGACAACATTCAAAATGAAAAAAGTATGTGCCCAAGGTATTTTATTTTTAATTAAATATATTAAAACGCAAGATAGTAAAACGATTCAACAAGGAGGTTAACAAAGTGACTGGACATACATTTTCAGGAATCTGAAAATGTAAAACCCCAAAGCGGGTCAATTCTATTTAAAGAGCCAGCAGCACTGAGGGAGTAAAATAATGTGTGCTTGCTTTAAAATAAGTCCCAGCTGTAGGTTTCAGGAAATTAATGCTACGTCTTTCCTTGGATTTACCCAACACAGTGGTTAACTTATGTTGTATCTCTTGGTACAATCATAGTCTAAACCCAGGACCCTGCATTCACTTTATCTGGTCTCCCACAGTACACAAAACATGGAAATGCAATTATTTTAGCAAATATAAACTGCTAAATACCTTTTCTCATCAGCAGTACATAGCAGTCTTATGACCTCCATCAGTGTTCAGCATAGCACTGGTTAAAGCTTGTAGGAGGAGTTTTTTTCTGCTCTAGGAGGATGCAAAACCCCTGACACCTGTCTGGAGAGCACTGATTGGCCCTCTGCTGATCACATACACCAGGAGTTTTGAATTAAAATTTACGGAGGTCCGGGCAGCAAAATTTCCCTCCAGCATAGGTTCGAATCTGGTTAGTGATATAACACATCACAGTCCCCCAGTACATTATGAACTTTAGCGTACCTTTCACACTGTAGTCCCCTATTTAAAGAAGTCTCACAGTGTCCTCTTTTCCTCTTCACATCACTACCTCCCTTAACACAACACAGTGCGCCCCTTAACACAATACAGCGCCTCCTAATACAATACAGTGCCCTTAAAACCATTCAGCGACCCTAACACAACACAGCGCCCCTTTTACTGTAATGTAAGCCTTCCCTTGGTACCTTAGGCAGGGCAGAAACACTAATCCTCCTGGGATGTTCTCTCCTGGGCCTCCAGCCCGCCACCGCTGTTGTCATGATGGTGGGCTAGGTGTGGGGAAGTCCTGTCCAGACCGTGGCTGTCCTGCTGGGTGTCCTCTTACGGGCCTCCCGCCCGGCCACCAATGTCGTCTTTGCGCTGGGCAGGGTGTGGGGGGAGCTGCGGGTCAGGACAGGGGGGCGTGAGCTGGTGATTGCCCGGCTTGTTGGTGTGTGGGGGACTTTCACTCTCTGTGGCTCGAGGCGGGAGTCTTTTCACGTTGGCCGCCCGGGTGGTCGCCTACTTGTTGCCAATGTGACTTGGGCAGCTCCCGTCCCTCGGTCCCGACCTGCAGCTCCTCACACCCCACCCGCTGTCGGTGGCTGCGGTCCAGATGGAACTATCCCGCGATCCGGATGGGACTGTCCGGTGGTCCACCATTTAGTGACCACCGACATACACTCTCCCAAGAGAAAAAAAAACCCCACTATCTAGCAATACACACCAAACTGAGCATGTGAAGAATGGCTACGGGTTCAGTCTTATCAGGGGATAAGACGTGGATATTTGAACAAGAGATGGAGCAGAGAAGACAGGATCAAAACAGCCTTTTTACACAATGCAGAGGATTAACCCCTTAGGTTCCACAATGAGTATAACAAGCATGTTTTACTGCATATACAGACTGAATTTACTGTTGTGGGTCTAGTAAAACTTTAACAGCGCTTACAGCATTTATGTGTTAGCTGGACATTGGGGGAGAGATAGTAGAAATTCTGGTATACCAGAATGCACTTTGAAATAATAGCGAACTAGGGAACAGCAGCTCTCGTCACTTCATGGTTGTACAGAACATCCGTGTAGTAACATGCAGGCAAAAACACTAACCAGCCAGAAATACTGATAGTGCCAGGCAGGAGTAGGGGCACTAAGCATTGTCAGTGGCAAAGCTTTTTGGGTCAGCAAAAGACCTCATGAACAAGCATTGGTACATGGAAAGGACAGTGTCAACAGATGCCATGAAGGCTGATATTAGTGTATCAGAACTCATAGAAGAGGTGGAAGAGCACCTGGAATTACATGACCCAAGTATCCCCAGTTGTTGCGGCGCAGAAACCCCCCCCCCAAAAAAAAAAAAAAAAAACAGAACAGATCTGGCAACAAGTCACCAAGCAGGTATTATCCCTAGACTGGGAAAACTGTCCTCTAGGGAGCAGGAGAGCAAAATCAAGTATGATTATATGGTTGCTGCATTTCATTTTACAGGATTATTGTAAAATATCCAAAATCAAAATTACACAATTTCCTCTACATCACTTCTATGTTTACCCTATACTCTCTAGGTAATAACAATGGTGCAATTTTCAGTTTCACAAAACCTATGCATCCGTATTCCCAATGCCAAGTGTCCCCACATCTAGGTTTAAATAAAAAAAAAAAAAAAAAAAAAAAAAAAGGGAAAGGTCGGTGGAGGTTTACATTTATCCAGATTATAGTACAGCTAGGATAGTGAGTCACATTCAAATGGACTTGTTCTGTAAAGCTGAAGACGTTTTAAATTTATAAAAGCTACTTCAGTTCTGATGAGTGTCAAGAACATAGCCCAGGTTGCACAAACACCTTAGGCCAGGGGTGGGCAACTGTGGCCCTTTAGCTGTTGGTGAACTACAAGTTTCCTGTGTGTTCTTTCATCCGCGTTGATATCTTCCAATCCAAGACTCCAGATGAAGGCGCCATCTTAATTATCATTGTTCTGTTAACCTATATATGATGATTGTTTACTTAAGAGAGTAAGGATTTTAAAGAGCAAGAGACAGAGAGAAGCAAGGCTATAAAATTGTCATTTTACTGATCATCTGACAAAGCACAGATTGTCTATCACAATCAGTTACACTACTTTTCTTTTTTTTTTTTTTTTTTTAGAGGTGGTATCTATGTGACAGGTACCCACTCCTAGGCAAGCAGAGAGGGAATTTCGTCTCCTCTTTCTCCCTGTCCGCAACCTCCTGGGACACCTTACATGTTTCAGAAGGCTGCGGTTCCATTCAGAAAGCTCAGAATGATTTGCGCATGCGCATTTGGGAGTCGGCTGTGAGCTAGTAGGAAATCACAGGTGGCTTCCCACAAATAAGATGGCAGCGCCAGGGACCCAAAGATCAGCAAAGAACTAGCCTAGGTGATGACAGAGCTAGATCCCTGGACTGGCAAGTGTGTGTCTATTAAAAGTCAACAGCTACAGTACTTGTAGCAGCTTACTTTTAATTTTTGTACAAATGCCCGAAGTGCCTCTTTAAAAGGTGTAAGAAAACTTGGGCCCTTCTTTTGTCTTCCCAAAGTACAGATCTTTCTATCCATAACTACACTGTACCTCTGTTTGGGTGTTGGCAGTGGCGTCCCTAGGGTTGGTGTCACCCGGTGTGGTAACACTTGGTGACACCCCCCCTCCGACGATCCCCGTAGGATGGATCGGATCTGCGGATTGAGCATAATGGATCAGAGTCCGATCCATGATCCTCCGCAATCCACAGATCCGATCCATCCTGCGGGGATCGTCAGCTTGCAACCTAACTGATCTCTCCACAAAAAGGTAAGTTTTAAAGCAAGCCTCCCTCTCTTTCTCCCCCCCCCCCCCTACCTACTACATGAAACTGCAGTGCTGTCACCAGGGTCCGGGGATTACACACTGACCTTCTGCATACTCTGCCCCCGCCCCTCCAGCTCTCCGACTTCAGCAACCATGGCAGGGATGTGGACCCGCCCCTCTGCTGAAACTCAAAGGAGGAGAGGTGTCCGAAGTGCCTGCCTCACTGTCCATCCCCTCAATGCTTGCTTATTTCAGAAGCGGCACATACAGGGACGGACTGAGCCTCTCATGAGGTCTTGTAGTGACCCTGGGCCCTCGTCTGTTCCTGGTGGAACGGGTCTGGTGTCACCCCGTGCGGCGTGCACCCCCCACACCTGCCTATTGGACGAATAATATTCTGTCTCTGTGTATTGCACCTTAAAGAGTAACTCCACTTTTCCTAAGAAAAAAAAAAAAAAAAAAAAAAAAAAAAAAAAAGGAGCTTGCCTCTGGGTGATCAATGTACATTGCAAGGATTTTAACAAACTTTGTAGCAGATAGCACATTGTTACTATGAAGAAATAGTGGCTTTGCTACACTGTCTGACTTTTGAATGGAAGAGTCTGGTTCATTAGAACCAGCAGATGCACTTTCTAATGAAGAAAGTTGTCATGTCTGGATCTCTTTAGAAGTATTTAACCTTTGTGAAGTATCTGACCAAAACAAATTCCTATTAGAGGGGATGCCTAAAATGTTACTTGTGTCTTAGTAAAGACTTCTTAGAAAATATGTGAGCCAATCACACAAGCAGGAACAAAAATGAGTTTTGGAGATGTTCTCTACCCCCTTCCCTTATTACTCTTCAAGGAAAAGGGGCACATTTTGGACACGGGTAATTTTGCAAGAAATGTGAAAGGGGCCATCTAGAGCAAAGTGGAACATCTATCCAAGAACAGGAGTGGGGGCCCTAAAATCTCTACTTCTGCAATCTGATAATTCAAACCTTTAGTCATGTGGATCAAAGGATTAGCATCTACCAGGTGAAACTCAAAAAATTAGAATATCGTGCAAAGTTCATTTATATCAGTAATGAAACTTAAAAGGTGAAACTAATATACGAGACAGACTCATTACATGCAAAGCAAGATGGTTCAAGCTGTGATTTGTCATAATTGTGATGATTATGGCTTACAGCTCATGAAAACCCCAAATCCACAATCTCAGAAAATTAGAATATTGTGAAAAGGTGCAATATTCTAGGCTCAAAGTGTCCCACTCTAATCAGCTAATTAAGCCATAACACCTGCAAAGGGTTCCTGAGCCTTTAAATGGTCTCCCAGTCTGGTTCAGTAGGAATCACAATCATGAAAAAGACTGCTGACCTGACAGTTGTGCAAAAAACCATCATTGACAAGCTCCATAAGCAGGGAAAGCCTCAAAAGATAATTGCAAAAGAAGTTGGATGTTCCAAAGTGCTGTATCAAAGCACATTAATAGAAAGTTATGTGGAAGGGAAAAGTGTGGAAGAAAAAGGTGCACAAGCAGCAGGGATGACTGCAGCCTGGAGAGGATTGTCAGGAAAAGGCCATTGAAAAGTGTTGGGGACTTTCACAAGGAGTGGACTGAGGCTGGAGTCAGTGCATCAAGAGCCATCCACACACAGACGGATCATGGACATGGGCTTCAAATGTCGTATTCCTCTTGTCAAGCCGCTCCTAAACAACAAACGCCAGAAGCGTCTTACCTGGGATAAAGAAAAACAGACCTGGTCTGTTGCTCAATGGTCCAAAATCCTCTTTTCTGATGAGAGCAACTTTTGCATCTCATTTGGAAACCAAGGACCCAGAGTATGGAGGAAGAATGGAGAGGCACACACTGCAAGATGCTTGAAGTCCAGTGTAAAGTTTCCACAGTCTGTGTTGATGTGGGGAGCCATGTCATCTGCTGGTGTTGGTCCACTGTGCTTCATTAATTCCAGGGTCAACGCAGCTGTCTACCAGGAGATTTTGGAGCACTTCATGCTTCCTTCCGCAGACGAGCTTTATGGGGATGCTGACTTCATTTTCCAGCAGGACTTGGTACCTGCCCACACTGCCAAAAGCACCAAAACCTGGTTCAATGACCATGGGATTACTGTGCTTGATTGGCCAGCAAACTCGCCTGACCTGAACCCCATAGAGAATCTATGGGGCATTGCCAAGAGAAAGATGAGAGACATGAGAACAAACAATGCAGAAGAGCTGAAGGCTGCTATTGAAGCATCCTGGTCTTCCATAACACCTCAGCAGTGCCACAGGCTGATAGCTTCCATGCCACGCCGCACTGAGGCAGTAATTGCTTTAAAAGGGGCCCAAACCAAATACTGAGTACATATGCATGCTTATACTTTTCTATGTACAATCCTTGTTTTATTGATTGCATGTAATATTCTAATTTTATGAGATTGTGGATTTGGGGTTTTCGTGAGCTGTAAGCCATAATCATCACAATTATGAAAATCACGGCTTGAACTATCTTGCTTTGCATGTAATGAGTCTCATTTATTAGTTTCACCTTTTAAGTTGCATTACTGAAATAAATGAACTTTTGCACGATATTCTAATTTTTCGAGTTTCACCTGTATGCAGGCTTCCTGAAACCCAGGATTTGATTATGTAACCAAAACAGAGTGGTTCAACAACTATCATACCTCTCATTCTGCTCTTGGATAAATCAATATCTGCCATAACACATTCCATGGTGGTTGAATTAAAGTGTCTGTGCTACCAGTGAAGATATAAATGGCTTAGATAAGCTAAACAACTCCAGTTAAGGACTCCTGCAGAAATGAGCTCAAAAACGCTACTTTTAAAAAGGCATTTGAGCTTTTTTTTTTTCCTGCCTTTGAACACCTCTCTATATTAACCTGTGTCCATGCACACATTGGAGCTTAGAAGCAAGGGTGCTTAGAGGCA